GTCCTCCAAGACGGGCCGCTTCCGTTGAGAGTTAACTTTTTGGCTTGCAAAAGTGGCTTGCGCCTGCGCGGAATGGCTTGTTTCGGGCGGGGGCGTGGATTTGGGTGGGATCACCCGCCCACGCCCGGCCGATCGGCTTGCAAGCCACTTTGATGGCTTGGCAAGCCATTCCGCCAACTTGATCCCAGCCAAATAAAAGAAGTGGCTTGTCCATATTGCGTGGTCATTTCACCCCAACTTACCTATTCTTGCTTCACCGTAGGGTTCCCTCAGGGATTCCTTGAGCTGAGCACCATTCAATTTCATAATTTTGCGCCATAACTGTGTATATACGCTGTAGAGCATAACCACAACTATTTTGGGTTCAAAAACTTGTGGCTTGTGGTTCTCTATACATTTGTATGGTCTTTCACTGAATGAATATGTGTGAGGAGCAATAAACTTGAGGCTTGGTGGCATACTTTTGACCAACTTGACTGTGATTTCAATTTCTTTTCAGGTGAGGCCTAAAGAATATGACGCAGTATAGAATTTGAGTTTAGAGCCACCCAAACATAGATGAGAGACCCTCTTGAATGGCATGCCATCGAATCTGGAGCTACCAGCCACCGGGCTCAAATTTGTTTTTTACTGTCGTCGAAATTTTGGAACCATTATTTTATTCTGTGACTGTGTGAAGCAGTATACCCCCCGATGCAAAGAATTTTTTCGTTGTGTTTGAGCTGGTGGAAGGGATTCATAGTGGGCGGGGGCTTTGAGCAGAATGGCTTGTGCACGTGACACAAGCCGGTCGAATGGCTTGCGCAAATATCTCAAGAATGGTTTATGAATTCATAATGAGTCAATCGCAAGATACATAATTCCAGTCGTATGTACATGATGTATGTTTTGTTTTGCAAGAAACCCCAGGCCAATGGTTGACATTAATTTCAACGTAAGCTTGGGCTGCACAACACCGCCACCGAGCGGAATGGCTTGTGTACGGCGCGCGGAAAGATACAGCTTATATAATTATCCCGGAGACTCCGCCCATGGTTTTAAACCTTGATTTTTCTCCAGCAGGATAAAGATCACCGACTGTATTGCAAAGCAAATGCGTTTAGAGTGTGATATTCATCACCCTTCGTCGGTGCGTGGATTTTGCGGAGGTGGCTTACCATTCGTGGGCATGGGCGTGGGCATGGGCAGGATGGCTTGTGCACACACAAGCCATTTTGTCCAGTCCGGCGTGGACGGAGAGTGAAGAACTTCGTTGAGGCCTAGTTTCTCTTGACAGATGCTGTATCGATACTAGCGGGGACTGGGAGCAAATATGAAGTGTCTGTTCTGAAATAAACACTTTCAATTGTCTGCTGATTTCTTTCCGGCATGACCAGAGCCAGTAAAGTCCTTTTACGAATATATTGGTCTGATTTTAACTATCCCTCCTCGCAAACACCCCAGTGTATTTACGCTGTGAAACCAAACATGCCTGGCATTTATTAAAACGTCTTCTGCGCGTTTTGGACCACCCGAGGATGTTCTAGGGCAGTGAAGAATAGAAACATGTCTAGAAACGTGTCGATCTAGGTAGGTAGGTAGAATCACACGACCGGTCCCGCTTAGGAACGTCGGGGTCCAGGAATTATCAAAGTCCACAGGCCACTATTAGGAATTGAACATGCAATTACAACTTACACTGGGTGATGTGGCTTTGGCGTGGGCGTGGCGTGAGTGTGGGCGTGGTATGGGTGTGGGCGTGGCAGATGCAAGAATAACTTGAGTAAGGATGCTTGAATATATGTAGTACGCGGTGGGAGATAATACCTATGATGCGGGAGCCAAATTCCTTGTCTTTTTAGGTCTAGGCAGTGAGTCTTGAAATTATCAAGGTATGCGAGGGGATTACTCTGGATCTATGCTAGAAAGAGTGGCATCCGATGCTTCGATTATGAGTTCAACAGCGGCGGTCGCGATCAATCACGGCGGCGAGGATAGTGGGAATGATCCGAACATAATAGGGAAAGAAAGAAACGATGTCGGCTCACCAATAGTCAGTAATGGACGAAATTCCTACAGTAAGAATGTGTAGTGTAGCCGAGGACAAGCCAAGCCATATCACAAGCCACGCCGTCCACGCCCGCCCCACCAAATTCAAACTCCGCTAAGGGGCGCAAGCCATTCGGCCAAGCCATTCCGTAAAGTCTGCGCTTCCGTTTAACTGGCTCTTTGGGAGGACTTACAGGTTCATCCGCCGCGGCATCGACGTCGTCGACTACACCCTCATCAGGCCCATCTATATCTTCTTCGTCGTCTCCATCTCCGGACTCAACATCTGACATCTCGTCCTTCCCTGCGGCCCTGTTACGCTTCATTCGCGCCTTCTTGTTCTTCTCCAATCGAGCAGCGTCAAATTGGGTAGCGAAGTCAAGCTGAAAGGTGCGGATGACCGTCCAGAGTGCTTCCCCGTGGCGCTCGTGGTGCTTCCATAGCGGGATCTTCGTCACAAGAACCTCCCGCGTCCAAATTATTAAAAGATTGTCGAGTAGGGAAGCAATGAAGGGGTTCGAGAGGTAAGACGACGCAGGCGTGCATCCGTAGATGTCGTAATCGCGCTCCAGCTTCTGTACCCTCACTCTGAATTTTCGGAGCTCTGCATCCGCCTCCGAGCGCATTTTACGTGTAAGTTTGGTGTTCTTGGGTCGGAAGGGTGCCGCAGCTACGGTTTTAGACGCGGGCTCAGAGAAGGGGCGAAGGCGTTGGTCCAGATGGAAGAGGCGATGGCTCGAAGGCGAGTGAGCCCGAGAAGCGAGGGAGACAGTTGGAGCATGGGAGACGGCGCGGCAGGGAAATACAATCCAAGTGTGAGCCCGCAGTGCTGTTGCCGAACACTGTGTTGAAAAATACGACCAGACAGTGCGTGGTGGTGAGCATCATGGCCTTCTCGTTATTCATTGTCGTTAGGCTCTTGCTGGTCTTCGCGGGTGCATGAGATGCAGAGCCACCTGTGAATATATGTATCATGAGGAACTGGGCGTAATTCTAATTCGATATAATGACTCACCACGTGCGAGATACTTTTCCGCCGATGTGAAGGACCGTGCTTGAGCTAAAATAACAGCTCGACCAACGGTGGATGGATCCCGTCCGACGCGACCACCCTGCTGGATCGTTTGCGCCACGGTTTTAGCTACTCCGAGCTGAATGCTGTCAAGGAGGGTTTTAACATTGAATCCCTGCCCGAACGCGACGGTGGCGACGATGATCTGGCACATGGGTTCATCCCGCATCAACGCTACGGTCTTTTCGTTCTCTTCAGGCCAGCACATCGCGTGATAAATTCGAACGCGAGTAAGCCGCCGCGGACCCGGAGGAAGGAGTCGAAGGAGGAAAATGTAGACCCGCCAACAGAGTTCGATGGTGGCGCAATAAATGATGGTCTTGCGTTTGCTGGCAAGATACGGGAGAAGGTCGGGGAAGGAGTCTCCGCCCAAAGTGTGTGTGAGCGCACAGAAGAGAAATTGTATGTTTTCACGCTCATTCGAGCGGCGGTATAGATGAAACATGCCTGGCTGAAGACCGAGGCTTTTGCACACCATTTTTGTAGGGGCACCCGGCTGGAGCGTCGCGGATAAAGCAGAGAGAGAGACGTGTGGAGGGAGGCGCCCGCGGACGAAGTTGCCGATATGCCTAAACGCTGGTCGGAATTCACCTCCCCACTCGTTGATGAGATGGCCCTCGTCGACGGTGGTAAAGGCGATGTTGTCGCGGAATAGCTGGCAGTTCGTGATGTATTCCCACTGCTTGTCCATGAGATGCTCCGGATCAACGCAGATGATAGGCCATTGACATGAAGCGACCTCCAAGGCTATGTTACGCCCCGCTTTCCGCGCGTCTTGAAGTGCTTCGGTGGTCCATGCGAGAGCCGGAACTCCAAGGGCTTCAAGCTCGAAAACCTCGAGATATCATGGTAAGTAAAGACGCGCGAGACAGATTATAATCACGCACTATGTTGCCAACAAGCCCTTTTGTGGGACCAATCACCAGTGCGACAGGCTTCTTCTGATAGCCAAATCCCAGATATGCCGTGGGATTGCTCGCGACCTCGAGGAGAACGATTATGGGGACCGCAAAGAGAGCCGACTTTCCGTCGCCAGTCGCGGTGATACACAGTACGTCTTCACCGTCGAGGATCCACGAGACGATGATGACCTGCCATTCATGAAGCCCGCCTGTCCATTGAGGAATCTTCTCGGCAACGATACGCCGGATGGTCGCGCGGCCCAATTCGGTTTGCCACTTGCGGCCTCGAGAGGGAGCCATTGAATGGAGTACACAAACGCGTCGTGGAAGTTGTCGAGTATTGACGTGTTTGCACGTGGTCGGCCCGCACTTCCATGTCTCTGAAATTACGCGGCGACACGCATCAATTTTCGTCTCCCCTCTTTTCATCTTCGTCAATCTCATACTCCTCAGAAAAGTGTGGGTGAAGAACGTTCTCCACCTTGTGCACAATACTGATTTTTGTAGAAGAAATGATCACTGACAATTATACATTTGACGTCGTGTGGGATAATCTCAATGTCAAAATATGCCCACAGTCCAACGGTGGCACCCCAGCAATATTTGAGATGTTTGTAGCAGAGCCTCAGGAGGATGGGATGCCGGAATTGGAGTCAGGAGGGTCGGGACGTGGCCTAATACACGAGATTGGCAGTCAGGGTGGGGAAGGCAGCGTTAAATTGGATATAGAGCTGTAAAATAACATTAAGACGCATGGATACCCCAAAAAACACGTAGTATTGCACTCCCAGTTGCGAACGAGCCCCTCTAATTAAGTCCCGACCGCGCTTTGATGGGAACACGTGGTTTCCCAAACGGGTGATTATATAATAAGGTCGACCGCCTACTATGATGGCGCGGTAACAGCTGGCGCACGCCTCCCCCACTATGACATTTCCTAAAAAGGAAATTTGTACCCCCCAATCCCATCTCAACAACAGTGAAGCACTTCTAGTAGTGGCAGTATAGTCTAGTGGTTATGCTGCAAGGCGTTGTTTAGGTAAGCGGTTGACGTGTGGGTTCGAATCCCGCTGGTGGTGTTTTATCCGTGCGTCTTGGTACGCTTTTTCTTTTGCATCTGTGCATTTTCTGCTAGCGGTGCCTCAAACGCCGCGGCGGCAGCTCCAGTCGACCTCGACGTCGTTTTAAATTTAAAAGGCGCAAATATGCACCGGATGCACTGTTACATGTGTAAAAATAATACATTCAGATAAATAGAGTAACAGACAAAAAAAGACCCCCGTGACGAGTGGAAGCCCTGACGGGGTGATAAAATAGATGGTTCGTGCCCCCATGTCTCTCCTGCGTGCGTAAAACTCACAGTCATCAACAAGGCATCAAAAGAAAATGGATTGAGCAATGAGGAAGAAATTGGATTTAAATAACAATGACATAGGACACGGGGAAATGCTCCTGGGAAAAAAAATGCGCTGCCAACTCGGAATTTTTCTGGTGCAACTACAGACCCAGGGAGACGAAGGGCATTATGGGTTAGAGTGTCGCGTCGACGCGTCGAAGTACACGTGATAGGAGTAGATCACGTGTCTGTCATAGTGGGGGAGGCGAAGGGGTTTTCGCGGTAACCACAGGACTAGGACTGAGACGGTGGACACGTGCCTGACAGTCTGGCAATCTGGACTATGTCAGAGAAATAGCTAGCCAGAGCGGCCATCTTCCGTACTTAGTCGCCAAAATTTGAATTCGAAATTGTGGGTCGTCCAATACATAGCTGGGCCTGAAACTTGGACATGATTAGATAGGTCATCTTTCAGAGTAAATGAGCGGCCCCAACTATCATCCTCCGTGACCCCTTGTCCGCCACAACAATCACGCCAGTCAATTTGTACATCTGGCACGAAGGTAATCAGCCGAGACGTCGAGCTGATCGCCCAAAGAGTGACGGGCAAGTCTGAGCCAGGATTGACTCACAGGGGTGGGGACGGTGATGGTTCGAAGCCATGATAGATCGTAACAAGATCTTTCGTGATCGGCGACGCTGCGGTGGGCTTTGTGCCTGGTGTGGCAGAGCCGGATGGCCGCGATGTGGAAACTCTACGTCCGGGTTCCGGTTCTATTTTAGTTGTGCCCCTATTTTACCTTACATCACTAACCCACTTACCAATCCACGTTTCCTTTGCTTTGTACCACTACCATCGTGACCAGTGCGGCCACTGTGCCTGAGAAGACCACCATGACCTCGACCTTTACTCTCCCAAACATCACCAATAGGCTTTTTAGCCACCGAAACACACGAATCACGCCATACGACCTCACTTTCCTCACGTCCCATATTTGCATTCTTATACTGTTTTCACGTCAGTTTTGCAACCGACGTCTGGGCACCGATCCTCCGCTTTTATATTCCTGAATTCAACCTACATCATACCGGATCACAGACCCAATTCAACCAACCTACGACCGGTTCCCTGCCTCTGCTTCACTGGTGTAGCAATTTCCCACGGAGGGACCCAGAAGTTTCGAAGACATAATAAATTCTTGTAAACAGTGTCCGAGTATGTTTGCGAATCCCGTTCGTGAGGTTGACTCGGATGTCTGAGGCGTAACCCACGAGGATTCCAAGCAGAACGACCGTGGAAATGAAATGAGAATAAATAACTGGTAGAATCGAGATTTTGAGGCGAGACGGCACGGAACGTGAATTCCCGCTGCTCAGTTCGACTGATCCTGATGAGATGAACTGAGTCGAGTGGGACTCTGATGGGTTGGGCCCAAATCGAACCGGCAAAGGCCCACAATGCAATAAGCGGCTAGACTCGTGAGCAGTCTGCCTACAATATGGCGAGCACGTTGTCGTAGCCAGACTGATACAACTCGGGATTTGTCATTGGAGCGCGCGAGGAGTTTGACTTGATGTGCCGGCAATTGTTTCTCAATACCTTCCTCTTCCTAGATCCCTCAGATACTTTACATAGTTATGGACAAATAGTATATATAACAATGCCGGAAAAAACGGGAGCATAGAGGACAGGGGGGAGAGAGAAAGAAAACGAAATCCAGACCCATTGTGCAAATTCAGACCAGGAGGTAGGAGTATCAATGTCGACAGAGCACATTGGAAAAAAAAAGTACGTACATAGGGCCCGCCGCCTGCATAATGAATTGGCGTCAGCCATCCATCTAACAACACCGAAGCCATGAGAGAGACACATACATGGATTGAGCTCCTTGCGTGAGGACGAGGAAGAGGAGAGAGGTTGAGAGTAATTTGAATAGCATCGTGTCGGTGGAATGAATGATTATCCCTGTTGATTAGTCGTTCTTTTATAGACGGATATATCCATAAGGCGTTGTATCCAGCGCCGAGTATGGAACAACATTACTGTAGCAGATTGAATGCTCCAACAGCACTCCCATCAAAAGCTTGTTGCAAAGGTGAGCTATCAATAGTAGTTTTGTATGCAGAATTGACCTTGGATGTCACTCAGACCCCTAAACGACGGCAAGCGGTCGTTTTGGCACCATAATGCCGGGTGGTCTCGGTGGACTTATCAAGTTGCCGCTCCGTTCTGTGGTACAAACTTGCTGTGAAGGGCCAGTGCTTCGCATAGCAATACGAGTCCGCTGTCTTTCAAGCTCCGCGCTTGGGCCGAGAGTCAGCAGGACTTCCTTTGCACAGCACCTTGGCTCCTATGAAAAATTCACGAAGGATCCTGTAGAAAGTTGTAAAAAAAATTATGCGGCTATGTTCGCTCGGTCGGCGCTCGCGCGCCGAGCTCACATTGAGCCGGGGGGCCGGGATGATTTTGGCCAGAACCAGACACGTGAAAAGAAGGCCACGTTTCACACAAAGGAAACGCGAAAACTTCAAAAAAAGATTTCACCCCAAGATTTCACACGTGATGGGAAAAAGATCACGTTTCAATCAAAAGTGGCAGCAGTGATCCAAAAATCTCGCGGACAAACCGCTGACAAGAACGAGCCTAAATAAATTTAAGACTCGTAAACGGGTGGTTATGCCCAAGACACAGCCACAGGTTTTGTACCGCAGAACAGAGCGGCAACTTAATAGGCTGTCTTGGCTTCTCCCGTGGGCGCGTTCCAACTCAACAAGCAATTCGATTGACATCTTCTGAAATTTGAAATTTTCTCCAAGTACTAATGAATCCGTGCACAAAATATTCTACTTATGCTGCAGGTGCAAGACCAACACGGTTGTTGGCTACATCGTACACAGAGTAGAAGTTCTCGAGGAAGGTCATACCCAGGATGGTGTTCGGAGCCTCCGATCCACCGTCGGCGATGTACGTGTAGAATCCGGACCCGGAAATCCCCCAGTTGGAGTACTGAGCGGTGGGGACAAGGTACTGGGTGGGCGTAAGGGTAAATGTCGTGCCCCCAACAACGAAACTAAAGTTGGAAGTCGGTTTAGTGGTGAACTTGACGAGACCGCTGTTGTTGTCCAGTTTTCCGCCGGAGGTGCTGAGGAATTTGGTGTAGATGGTGGTGGGGACGTAGAGCAGGGTGGTTCCCGTGTCGACGATTCCCGAGGCAGTGGTGGTCCCGAGACTGGTCGAACCGAATGCGAATTTACTGACTGAAACACCCCACCACGGAGCGACGGCGGTGGTGTAAGTTATGGAACCAGTGAACTTGGAGTCATCGACGCCACCAAAGGTGAGCTCGCCGTTGGTATCTTCCTCGTCAGATCCGCTCAACGGGGCGAAAGAGACACCAAGGATGTTCTCGCTGATGACACCCCTGGAAGGAAAGAACGGTCAGCCTTTCAAGCTAAAGCCACGAAGGAGACGTGCGTACTGCGACACGAGGTTTTGCATAAACGTAGGCACTGTGCTGACACCGCTGACGGTGTCCTCCGTGAGATCCACGGGTCCGAACCCGACGATACCATCAGTACCCTCAAAACCACTGGATGTTTTTGCGACACCGATGGACTGGCCGGTGACCCTGGTTCCACCTATAGAGACAGTGTCGGTGAACTCGGTACCACTAAATCACAAATCAGACTCGGGATATCGCATCAAATCAAAGTATACTCACGAGAAACTTCCAGAGCCGTACGAGACCTCCACGGAGTCGCCAGTGCTCTTTCCAGTGGATCCAGCTACAAACTTAGTAGTAGCACCAACCCACGTGTTGGAAGAGCCCTATGCGAGAAAAGTGAAGGAAAATGATAGATGAAACGCAGAAGAGAAACATACGGTATCAATGATCAAGTTGAAAGTCTGCGAACCAACGACGGTCTCGGCAATGTAGCTGAAAATTTCGTTGATCACGGGCGCAGAGGCAAGCTCAGAGACGGGGCTCTTCTTGAAGTAGTGGTTGAGCCGGGCATTGTCGTGAGCAACAATGTTGGTGATGTTGGTTACGGTGCTGATCTTCTTCAGAGGTGCCTTCACGAGAGGGGCAGCGCGCTGCTCAATGGACAGAGCGGATGCAAGGCCGACGACAAAAGCGACAAAGGCAGCCTGGATAGCGATACGGACCATGATGACAATGAGTCAGGAGAAGGAGGCTGCTGGTAGAGGTTTCGCCACGACTTGCGCCTTTTATATCAGAAGATAGCAAAAATAAGCTGTATTCGACCGTCTGTTGCCCGGCCTCGTCCATGCGTCACATTGTGTTTCTTGAGAGTCCTTCTTGATAGTCATGCGATATTGAGTGATTCTATCTAAGTAAACATGCTTTGACATAGTAACATGCACATGTTTCTTGGTTCTTTCTTGACAGATGTTATATTCGGTGGAGTCGAACAGCAAAAGTTCAACGTAAGGCGAAATGTGGTGTACGACGTTTCCAATTAATATTGCGTTGTCAGACTGAGCGCTCAGCAAGAGTGTACAATACATACTAGTGGATGGGCCATATGTACTGTATGCTACAACCTGGCACACGGTTCAGAAGGGAAGATACGATTGATACGACCGACTACGCTAAATATAGCTCAGGTAGTATCGGCTGTGCTCTAATTTTATATATCGTGCTTCCATCAGCAAGATCGCAAATCACGCGCGATCTTCGTCCTCCGCGCCCTTTTCTGCGTATTTCTGGTACTCAGTTA